TCATTATGGCCCGGTCGCGAGAACAGTTGTGCGATCACAGGGACCTAGTGCTCCGGCACCTCAGCCAGTTGGGGCTTCGGGTCAACTGGGAAAAGAGCAAGCTCTCCCCTGTGCAGAGAATCTCTTTTCTCGGTGTGGAAACTGGCAGGTGGGCATGGCGCCGCGGTACACATCATGTCACCATCACACTGACGTGTCTCTGCCTATTCAGCCCCTGGTCGGACCTTGCATTTCTACGGGCCGGGGTGCCCTTAGGACAAGTGTCCAGGCATGTCATTGTCACGACGGATGCCTCCAGTATGGGCTGGGGCGCTACATGCAACGGGCAGGCAGCTTCGGGGCTCTGGACGGGGCCCCGACTGCTTTGGCACATCAATTGCCTAGAGCTGTTGGCAGTGCATCTGGCCTTGCGGCAGTTCTGGCCACTGCTGCAAGACAAGCACGTGTTGGTCCACACGGACAACACTGCGGCGGTTTCGTACATCAACCGGCAGGGAGGTCTACGATCATGTCGCATGTCACAGCTCACCCGCCATCTCCTCCTCTGGATTCAGACACGGCTCGAGTCGCTGCGCGCCGTCCACATCCCGGGGGAGCTCAATCGTGCAGCCGATGCGCTCTCACGACAGATCACGTTCCCTGGAGAATGGTGAATCCATCCCGAGACGATCCAGCTGATCTGGAGTCGATTCGGGGAAGCCCAGGTGGACCTGTTTGCTTCCCGTGAGTCCTCCCACTGCCAGTTGTAATACTCCCTGACCGAGGCCCCCCTCGGCACGGACACACTGGCACACAGCTGGCCTCGGGCTCTTCGCAAGTATGCATTTCCCCCAGTAAGCCTTCTCGCACAGACACTGTGCAAGGTCAGGGAGGACGAGGAGCCTTTCTGGCCCACCAGGACCTGGTTTCCGGAACTTATGCTCCTCGCGACAGCCCCTCCCTGGCGCATCCCCCTGAGACAGGACCTGCTCTCTCAGGGGCTCGGCACTATTTGGCACCCGCGTCTAGACCTTTGGAACCTCCACATGTGGCTCCTGGATGGGACGCGGCAGACCTAGCTGATCTGTCACCTGCGGTGGTTAATACAATCACTCAGGCTAGAGCTCCCTCTAAGACGCAAGCCTATGCTCTGAAATGGAGTCTGTTTGCGAACTGGTGTTCTTCTCGCCGAGAAGACCCCCGAAGATGCACGATTGGAGTAGTGCTTTCCTTCCTGCAAGAGAGGTTGGAGCATAGGCTGTCACCCTCCACCTTGAAAGTGTATGTGGCTGCCATCGCAGTACATCACGATGCAGTGGGCGGCCGGTCCCTGGGAAAGCACGATCTTATCGTCAGGTTCCTGAGGGGTGCCAGAAGGTTAAATCCTCCTAGGCCACCCCTGGTACCCTCCTGGTACCTCTCTATTATCCTGGCAGGACTTCAGAGGGGTCCCTTTGAGCCGCTGGATTCAGTCGAGCTTAAGTTCCTGTCTGCTAAGACAGCGCTCCTGACCGAGCTCACTTCCATCAAGAGGGTCAGGGACCTCCAAGCATTTTCAGTGAGCGAAGAGTGCCTTGTGTTCGGGCCGGCCTACTCTCACGTTGTCCGGAGACTCCGGCCTGGATACGTGCCCAAGGTTCCCACCACTCCCTTCCAAGATCAGTGGTGAACCTGCAAGCACTGCCCTCGGAGGAGGCAGATCCAGCCCTTGCGTTGCAGTGTCCCATAAGAGCACTGCGCATATACGTGGACCACACCTGGAGTTTTAGAAGCTCTGAGCAGCTCTTTGTCTGCTATGGAGGTCAGCAGAAAGGGAAGGCTGTCTCCAAGCAGAGGTTGGCCCACTGGATAGTGGATGCCATCGCCTTGGCGTACCAATCCCAAGGCGAGCCGTGCCCCCTGAGGGTGAGGGCTCACTCCACAAGAAGTGTTGCCTCCTCCTTTGCGCTGCCGCACGGCACCTCTCTGGCAGACATCTGTAGAGCTCTGGGCTGGGTTGCGCTGGCGCACGGCACCTCTCTGGCAGACATCTGTAGAGCTCTGGGCTGGGTGACACCGAACACCTTCGCGAGATTCTACAGTCTCCGCGTTGAGCCAGTTTCTTCCCCTGTGTTGGGTAACAGGTAATCGGCGGGAAGTGATGCCGTGGCCGGTATCACGCTTGCTGCGCCATTCCCCCTCACCCGGGGATGTGAGTGTCTTTCTCCTCCTCCAGTAAGTTCCCCGGACGGCGAACCCTGGTTGAGTATCCTTCAGCACCCCCGGCAGTCAGACTGGGCGGAGCAGTCTGACGGCAGGCCCAGTATCGGTGTTAGCTTGCCTGGGTCTCCGGTCAGCCCCTGTACTGGGCTAGGTGTCCATATGGCTTGATTTCCTGCGGGCAATCCCATATGTGTATTCTTCCACGGTAAGGTTTCCCTCTCTGTAAACCCGTGTCTTCCCTTTGACAGAGTGTTCTGTCAGTCTCTGCTGGCAGTTGCTCCATCCCTACTCTCAGGCAGGACCTGCCCCAGGGACCCATTCCATATGTAGTACTGCCCCAGGCCTGGGTCAGTCCATATGAGAATCTCCACATGTTACCTCTCTACGAGTAGGGTGTGGTCTCCGTAGCGCTCTTCTCCAGAAGGCTCACTTCCCCATCGTTCTGCCTAAGCTGTAACAACAAATCGGAAAGACTTGAAGCAAATCTTTCGTTGTAGGTCGAAATCCTTTCTGTTAAGAAATTTCTGTGGGGAAAGGAACATCGGCTTGGTTATCTCCAGCAGCGATGTATTCACCTGTGGTCCCTGTGGGTACCAAGGTCAGCGAATTTGCGCTGGGGCGGTGGGAAGGTTACGACCTTTGCGTAGTGTTTGTCTGTCACACGGCCGCTTGCCAACATTGGCTACGTCACGGGGTTGTGACAGGGTTCAGGTTGTGGCGCTTTCCAGGGCCCCATAATGTCGTCACGACATAACTCGTAGTGACCGAAAGATAGGGAACGTCTCAGTTACGTACGTAACCCTCGTTCCCTAATGGAGGGAACGGAGACGTTATGTCCCCTTGCCACAACCTCGAACCATCGCTGGCGGCCAGGGACAAGTTCTCGGCTCCTCAGCGTAAAACCTGAAGAGTGGATGCACCTGTCGCCTATTTATACCCGTATGCACGGGGAGTGGCTCAGGTATGCAAAATCCACTAGCCAAATTTCATTGGCGTTTTCTCTTAAAGTCAGAGATGATTGGGGCTCCCAAGTGAATCCCCATAATGTCATCACGACATAACGTCTCCATTCCCTCCATCAGGGAATGAGGGTTATGTACGTAACCGAGACGTTCTATAATGACTCTCGGAAGATTTTAGCATTGTAATGGATATGGCAATGTTAATGTATTTGGTCTTGGCGGAATAGATCTGCTACGCTGCTGCTGTTATTGGTTATTGCTGTCGAAGTACAGGAACTTACTACTGCAAATACATACTCCGATTCACTGCTGTGAGTATTTAAGACATACTGCTGCTGCACAATTAGCATATATAATAACCCGTAGGAGATCTATTGTATACAGGTGGAGCTGGGGAAGGTGGAGGGTTTCAGAGGAACTCTGAAAATGCGGTGCAAAATGCTCAAGTGAACGCTAACTAGCCATTTAAATGTAAAGCAGCAAGCTCATTGGCTGCATATGCAACATGAAACTGTGAATATCATCAGTTTCAATTATTAAGGACCCATCAGCCTGCGCCATCTAGAGTTTCATGACAGAAATTGGCATTTCCATGTTCAAAATTTGTTAGTATTGTGTAATTACAATATAATATACAACAATTCAATCTACACCTTTGTAAGTGAAATAAAGATGTAAAAATGTCATTTAGAACAAGCATGACATCGAAATTATGACTTCTCAACTCATAAATACAGACGTTCCAGGAAGACCTGAACGTCATAAACAGCCAATGACCACTGACTTCAAATCATACACAAACTTTCTAAAAGTGGCACATTTGAGGTTTTGAATACGTGCAAACACAGGTGTGAGATTTGAGAGCAATGCTATTAGCTAATTCGCTATGTCATCAGCAAAATATGAATAGATTTTGGTCTGTTTCTCACACAAGGCTATCATATGGCCTCAGAAAATGCATAATATAGCACACAAGTCATATAAGTTAATTTTATTCCGCTTTTATGGTGCTTTTGTGATTGGCTTTTAAAGCTTGACACATCCAGGTCACTGTAAGCTTGTGTTGAAGTGTAAACACTCAAATGCTTTCTGTAACCAACACATTAATAACATCACAAAAGTGGAAAAAACAGTACAGCAATTAATCAGACATATCTGTGAGACTATAAGGCTCACTAAAATGAAACAGCATCTTTCTGAAATGCTGTAAAGATGCTTCAGAAATGAGCTATATGTGCATGTTGAGGGTTTCTCAGCTGGCCGTGTTGTGTTGTCTCTCGCTGGGTGTGTATTAATGAGCTTTTCCCTTCATCAATGACACTCAGGGTCGCGAGGCTGACGGCAAAGTTCACAGCCTGTTTACAGCTCAGGCGAGAGATGCTCTCCCTATCTCCCTATCGTGGAGGTGGTGTCACCTCCACGATAATTAAAAAACGCAAGCGTTCACTGAGGGGGCTGTCCTTCAACCGCCTGCATGCTGTTCTGGGAGAAGACTGTTTGTATACTCTGCAAGGAAATGCTTTGAGAAAAAAGCCTGAAATAGAGCTCAGTCCTCTTCCCAAAACACTGTGTGGTATGGTTTATTGATTTATGGTACTAGCGGTTCCTGCTGTGTCATATACAATACAGAGTGATGTAATACAATGTAACATAACCACATTTGATGATTTTGTATATACTGTTTGTAATGTTTTTTTTTTTCATTTTATGTTACTTTGGATAACAGTGTCTGCTAAACTAATAAATAAATAAATGCATTGCCGCCTAACTCGTACATAAATTACCACTGGAGTAATTAAACCTTAAAATACCACATAAATAATTAGATAGCATTGATTGATTGATCGATTGAAATACCATAACTGAAGATGCGGCGATGCTCCGAGTGTCTTCCTCAGGTCCCTCCTGTTCATCACTCTGTACAACACATAAAAAGACAGTTAACTCAAAATGCAATAGTATTGTACCAATATTAGTAATATTTCAAAGGGCTCATTTGTAAATCACATAGAGGTACTATGTAAAAAACTAACCTTCATAAAGCCTGTCTATTGAAATTAAACTGTAAAAACGACTAGTGCAGGAATATTTGTGGTTATGACATCACAACCATGAGCTCATTAACATATGACAACCCTAATTTGCATTTACATTTTGATAGGACAAGAGCAAAAATGGTCTGATTGATTATAAGGGTCAGGGTGGAAAATAGTCATGAAACGTATATGATAATTATGACTGTTTTTGGTGTAAAAACCTTGACTAACATTAGAGAAAATGACAGATAATTCTGTGCTTGTACAGCTTGTATGATGCCACTCAAGTGCTCATCTCTCTGTGTCTCATTATGTGGAGCCTCCTGATGTTATGATGGACATCCAGACACTACAGGAAATGTGAGATAAATGGCAGATGAGCAATCACTGGAGAATATAGCGGAAACAAGGGATTTCACTTTCTCAAACTCACATTCTTTATTCATAACTATAATAAAGTTGAGTATTACTATAACTAACATTCATTATTGCTGTTTGTTAGTAAAATATCACTATTGCTTAAGGTTAATGTGAACAAAAATATAATCAACCTAATTCCCCTTTTTTTTCTCCAAAGGTTTATGTCAATTTAGTTTGTATGAGGTCTGCACTTTTAAAGTAGTTCTGACTCTGAAATTTTGATCTTTCAATCCACTTTTGTACAATTTCATCACGATTTGTATAAAATTGTACGATTTATAGGAAAGGAAGTGACGTGTGGCCAATTATGGTGACCCATACTTGGAATTTGAGCTCTGCATTTAACCCATACAAGTGCACACACAGACACACACACGGAGCAGTTGGGGGTTCGGTGCCTTGCTCAAGGCTCTCACCTCAGTCGTGGTATTGAAGGTGGAAAAGATCACTGGTCATTCACTCCCTCCACCGACAATCCCTGCCGGACCTGAGACTCGAACCCGCAACCTTTGGGTTACAAGTCCAACTCTCTAACCATTAGGCCACAACTGCCCTAAATATGATATTTACATTTACATTTAATCATTTGACTGTACATATGACGTTTACATTTACATTTATTAATTTAACATAAACTTTGAGTTAAAGCGAGGATGAACTGCATTCGAAGTTAGTGTACAATGCAAATGAACACACACCTGTGAGCATGCATGTGAATTTCACAACTTTGACACATATTTGCAGGCCAACCAATAGCAAGCCTCTTGATTCCGCAGTGACCTTTGACTGACAAAGATTCGTAACTTAGCAAAAAAGCAAAGCTCATTGTGCTGGTTTCTACTGTAACACTACATTTCAGTATTATAATGGTATTTTGTCACCTCCTTTCCTGCTTTGTTTTGCCTGTGAAATGTTGCATAGCGACGGTAAATGTGGCCCTTTAGGGGCGTTCACACAGAACACATTTTTGCATTCTATTGCGCTATTTGCACAATATCCATTGTTTTCTATGTAAACACTCACTATATTAATTGTGTTAGCATCTTTTGCAGTGTCTTGCGCATGACATGGCATTCTAAAAATGCAGCGTTCAAGTTAAAAATAATTAATTTTAATTTTAAAGACAGAAAAACAGTGACGGCTTCCCTTGTGGTGGCACTGAGAAGGCAACACATTTGAGCTTATAAGCTGTTTTAACATTTGAACTCTGTTTTCACATATCTGTGTAGATTATATTTTAGACAGTGCAGTTCAGTGTCAGCATTCAAAATACAAAAAACTGTGGTATTACACTGGTTTTGTCTTTTAAACTAAAGGTGTCTTATTCTTTACAGTGTTTCTAGCATGTGATTAATATGACTTCAGGCATGAACAAAAAGAAAAGTAATTCTGTGATTAAAAGCCCAGAGCTAAACATGGGAATAGTACATTTTTATTCATAATCTATGAGATTTAGTGGGCCATTTGCATATCTAAATGATTTACATATGGTACAGAGACCCTCTAGTCATAAATAATTTAATATCACAACATTTCCTGAAGGAGTAGCTCATCAGGGCCACATTTAACTTTAATTACTCTTTTAAAATCACAGTTATGATTCAATAACTCGCTCGCAAAAATAAATGTACCTCAACAGATTACTAAAATGGAAATAATAGCAGTGGACAAAAAAACAGACAGAGGAATGGGGGAGGGAGAAAGAGAGAAGGATGGATAGAAGAGGCGCCAATGAAGAAACACCATACATGTGTATGAGTGTGTGTTTTAGTAAAGAAAAACACATCCATGCGTTACAGTGATTTTACAATGGGTGAGAAATTGTCTTAGGTACAGCAACACACACACACACACACACACAAAAAGAAGAAAACAACTTTATTCAACAATTTATTCTCTTCCATGTCAGTCTTTGACGCGTGTTCACGAGAGTATCTTGACGCATGCGTGAGGGTGCTGCTGATGCAGGAGCCGGGGTACTGACGTAGAAAGCAGATGCGCTATGTCTTGTTTAGAAGCAGAGGAATAACAATATGGTTAAACCACTGATGTCACATGGACTATTTTTTAACGATGTCCTTACTACCTTTCTGGGCCTTGAACATTTCAGTTGTGTCGCAGTCTATGCAGAGTCAGAAAGCTCTCAGATTTCATCAAAAACATCTTAATTTGTATTCTGAAGATGAACAAAGGTCTTATGGGTTTGGAATGACGTGAGGGTGAGAAATTAATGACAGAATTGTCATTTTTGGTTGAACTATCCCTTTAAACAGAATATATTTTCTGCTAATCAGGATTAGTTCACCCAAAAATGAAAATTCTATCATCATTTACTCACCCTCACATCGTTCCAAACCTGCAAGACTTTCATTTATCTTCAGGCACAAATTAAGTTAATAAAATCTGAAGATTTCTGTCTAGCTAATGATAGGTAATCAAAACTTTCAAGCTCCAAAAAGGCCATTATGGCATTGTAAATGAAGTCCATATGAATCCAGTGATTTGATCCACATTTTTTAGAGTAATATCTTTGTGTAAATAAAAAATAATAATAATACTCGAAGGAATAAACCATAACTATTTAGAAAATTAAATACTTGAAGCTTGAAAAAGTCTACCATTACGAGCGTCACGTAACAACAAAACGACACCCCCGAAGCATCTGAGAGCGATAATCAGGTCCCCAAAATGCAATGTGATTCATCTTATACTAATTAAAAACCTTGCACAGCAACATTAACATATTAATTGAGGTTCAAGCATAGGGCTGTTATGATGAGGAAATTCAAATGAGTCTTTCAGGAACAGAATAGAAATTGTGGAAACAGAGGGGTGAAGATAACACACACACACATACACACTGCTCTTGTACAAATGGCCTTATCTCCAACAGAGGCTCATATGTGTGTGATCTGGCACATCACCCACTTCCATTATCAGACGGCATTTAGAAATGAAAAACCCATTTACTCCCATTTACATCCCATCTGCCTGTGGGAGAAAGATCTCTTGCCCCACAATGTTCCCCGGCATTGTCAAAGTGACAGGATGGCGTGCAAGGTCACCCGAAACCTCTCACTGCGCTTGTTCGAAGAGGCAAGCAACAACGGTTTACTGGCTAGTCATTTAAGAAGGCCCATTTTCTCATTTGGTAATGTGTTATCTCTTACATATATGTGTGTATTGAAGAAGGAGTGGCTAAACACTGATGTTTTAGTTAAGAGAAAATGACTTGGCTCCACCTGACACCAACAGTTTCATGGAGTCGTAGGTTTAGGCCATTGATCTGGAATATAAAGAAACATCGTAACTTCTTTCTACCAGGGGTGGCAGTGAGGTCAGGCTCGGATAAGCATGAAATCACAGGATAAAGGAAGAATATCTGTTGTTTCAGCCTTGATTACTACCACGGCTGCCCTAATATTTTCTTTCAGCAGGATGTTAGTGGGGATGTCATTGCAATACAAGATGTTTTGCTTGTAAAGCCTGCTATACACTGTACGATTTTTTATTTGTTTGTTTTTTTTAGAATTTCTTTAACATCTAGTCATTCCAGCGATTCACTGTTGACAAAGTCGGTCGCACACCAAACGTGACTTTCTGTATGTGCGTTTCTTAAGCAAAAGTGGATAAAGTTCACTTCATTAATGAACAATGTGTTGTTAATGAGTTTGCAAACTTAAAAAAAAAAAAAAACACCATCTTTGTATATTATAATATATTACTGAAAATGCACAAATATGCACTCTTCCAGCCTAGCTTGAAGTCAGTATTTATATAAATAACAATTTGGGTCAAATCTCCACTGAAGGTTAAGATTCACCACAAAGAGCATTGTTATTGGTGAACATGTCGACTTAGGCCATCAAACACTCACGATTGTGCCCTACGACAATAGAAATCCTTTACAATCCCAGAAATTTGTCTCAGACAGCAAAATTATACAGTGTGCACCAGGCTTAAGGCATCAGTGGAAGGTAAAAGGCAGTGAGATTGATAGGTGGCAGTTAGTTTGTAATTGAATGGATCTTTTCCATTCTAATAATGTTATTTTGAAGATTTCTGTATAATTTTAAATATTGTGTCAGACAGACAACGTCTTTAATGTTGATAAATGTTTGCATATTGTTATCTCAAGCTAAATTAATATATATTAACACTTGCTGGGATAGAATTGTGGCAAACTGGTTTGATGGTAACAGGGTTGACTCTGAAATGAACTGAGTGTCTTCAGAAAAGTTTTGATTGCATTTCAACTTTATCTGATGGGAGCGTTCATGAGCGCAGCGCTGCTTTGTTTACAGCCATTACTGGGGAAACCGTTATATTTCCGACAAAGCGCCTCCTACTGGCAGAAAATCAATTTGGATTTTCAAAAAGCTTGTCTGCTGTTTCTCCCATCCACACATATAACCCTGTTTTAAATTAATATAATAATTCCTCTTTCGGTGTTCGGCCGAA